AAGCAGATTGTTATGAAGCCAGGCTGTTCCCCCATACCACCCTGTGTCTACAAAAAATTTGCTGTGTCCCACACCGCTTCTGGTCATGAGATTTCCCCTTTGCTGCTTCTAAGGTGGTTGCCAAGGCATGCTTAAAAGACGTCTTGTGTGTTCAGAGGATTTTGTCCCCATTCTAGACTTCCAGGATGGCACATGACAAACCCCATGGCACTTGCAGTGAAGGGAGACCCCACTCTGAGACTCCTTTTCCCTACTGCACTACAGGAGCCACAGGGCTCCCAAGCTGACCAGGAGGGAGGAAGGTGCAAGCCTCACCCCATGCACAGAGGAGGGAGTCTGGCAGGGGGCCTTGTGATGCTCCCATGGCTCTGGCAGTGTTTTTCTCACCCAAATCCTTGCTGATAGTGTTGTGTGACTGCATTGTAGTGGTGTGGCATCCACAGGTGCTGTCTCATGGAGCTGTGCAGGAGGCAAAGCACAGAGGGAAGATGGGCTGGTGCAGGGGAGGCGAGCAGTAAGCAGCTCTGCTCCGTTAGCTTGCTTTCTCCTGTGAAGCACTGTACAAACAGCAGAGGCAATAAAACACGAGATGAACAAGACAAAGTCAGCTATTTACTGCCCTAAGCAAGGCACGATTGTTCCCCATGGTGAGTTTTCATGTGTCTTTTGCTTCAAGTCTGCTTTTAAATGACGCATACGATGTGGCTTCCTCCAGCTCGTGGGGGAAAGGAGAAGGGAGGCTCTACCACAGTGCAATAGATATCCCTCATCTAAAGCTTTTACTGTATCTAAAGTGCCATTGAATTGCTGCTCTGCTGTAGGCATTATAGTAAGTGCTGTGGTGAGCTGAGGAGCTGTTCTGCTGGCTTTACCTGTTGTGTGTATGAAGGACGCTCCTACTTGATCCTCTGACCACTGGCCTCACCAGCAGTGAAGAGGAAGCTGACACATGTGTCCTTGGCTGTCCTGGGATGGGGAGAGATCACTCTCTGTTCTGCACAGAACAATGAGGAGGGGGCTGACTCAATATGACCCAGAAGCTGATGGCACTTCCAGCACTCAGCCTGGGCAGGTATTTTAGCAAAGATCACATAACATGCTGTGTGCAGTTACAAATGTCTCCTCTACCCACTGCAAGTTGTTTCTGAAAAAGGTGTCTTGGTCACCCCTGGAAATGGGGAACCAATGGGCAGGGAGGAGGAGTGGGTGCTCAGGACTCATGCTGGTGAAGAGTAGAGCTGGAATATATTTTCAGTATTCCCATGTCATCTCAGAACTGAGCAATTTGAGAAGAGCAGCTAGAAAAGGCTGTTAGTTTCTGTTCTTGTGACTTAAGTACTAAAGCAGTGGACATCTTATTCCACTGGACAGCACAGTCAGCCAGGCAGTGGTCACTGAGATGGGTTGGACCCATGAAGGAGATTCATGAGTGTGTGATGTGAGAAGAGTGTGGGAACAGAACAAATTCATTTCCCCAGAATCATTTAACAACCCTCAACGATTCACAGCTCAGGTTCCCCTTGTAATAGAGGTGTGTCGATGTTTAACAGCCATTGGTGGATTTTTACCTTCATGAATTTGTCTAACCTTCTTTAGATGCCTTTTTAGCACCCCTAGCATCCTGTGTCAAGGACTTCTGGAGATGCAGTACACACAGTGGTGCATGAAAAGCAGTTTTAGCTTATTCTGAGCAAAGTTATTGCAGCAAAGCCACATATTTCTCAGTAGATTCTATGCTGAGTAAGTGAGAGGTCCATCAAGGTACTTGCTGTGCCTAATGCTGCAGTTTGGAACATGCATGAAGATCTGAGGTGCAAAAATCACTCTCCATATGTTCACAGACCTGTTGTGATTTATGTCTCGTGGCAGAGCCTGGGGACTGTGTTGCGGTCAGAGGCCAATTGCATCACGTCCTGTGCAAATACACCCCGAGGTGCTTGCTAAGAGCTCTAACTGGTTCATGCTGGGAGTGAGGGACAGACCCTCTGCCATTCTTATAAGATTATAAATTGATAATTTGACCCCAAGGAGGATCATATGAAGTCAAAATTCAGAATGCTACAGTTACTTCTTCACTAGGAAGCGGCTGATATGGATGTATAATTTGAGTGTCTGTGTAAAAAGAAACATAGAGACAATAAAGACAGTGACAATGTTTAATAATTGCTATGGGTTAGGGACATCTGCACTGTCAGTAATGACTGATATGTGGTGCCCTGTGCTTAGGGAAATAGACTGCATGTCAGTGCTCTGCTTAATTTGGAACAATTTGTGAAGCTGCCACTTGTGCCATGCAGGACTTGTGCTGGAAAACTACATGGGCTAGGAAAACTGACTCTTGCTCAGGATACATCAATGGATGAATTTTCAGCTTCTGTGAGTTTCTCTGGGTCAATGGCTTTACACACAGGAACTGATAGGATGAGAATGACCATGGAGCCACCTAGATCCACACTTGGTCCCTCTTTCCTGTGTCTCTAAAGAGCACAAGAGCCAAAAATGACTGGGGGATCACGAGGCTGATGAGGTCTGGCTGATGCTGGAGGAAACCTCCACCCCCACTGAAATGCCTGTGGGGCTCCCTGGAGCGCCAGAAGATGCTGAGCAGTGTCCAAGGGGATTTGTGTGCATGCCTGCAAGGAATCTGTGGCATCTCCTCCGAGCTGCGATAGTGGGAGCTTATCGGGGATTCCTTTGGATGCCTTCACGTCCAGACCAGCAGCGGCCCTCTGAGCTGGGGTGGGCTGGTGCTGAGAAAACCAACCCAGCTGCCTCCATCCCGGCCTTTCCCTCCCCCGTGGAGAGGCAAATCCCATGGCAGGCACTGGTGGTGCAAGTCATGCCAGCAGCTGTACTGTCTTTGGACACTCCATGGCAGGTGTGATATGTGAGAACATGGCTGTGTGGCTGAGAGCTGGGGGGTGGGTAATTCACTGATTGTACATATGAGCAACAATTAGTGTCACCAGCTGGTTCCTCACCCCACAAAACATCTGCATCACAGATGGACTTTTTACAAGGGCCTACAGGGCCTGATAGGACAAGTGGAATGGCTTTAAACTGAAGGAGGGCAGGTTTAGATTAGATAATAGAAGAAATTCTGTGAGGGTGGTGAGGCACTGGCACAGGTTGTCCAGAGAAGCTGTGGACACCCCATCTCTGGAAATGTTCAAGGCCAGGTTGGGTGGGGCCTTGAGCAACCTGGTCTAGTGCAAGGTGTCCCTGCCCATAGCAGGGGGGTTGAAACGGGATGATCATTAAAGTCTCTTCAACCCCCAAAATTCTACGATTCTGTGATTCTATGGTGTCCCAATGGGTTTGACATCATCTCTTGAAGGGTTTACAAGTGTAGCTTATGTAAGTGGAATGTATGGATGCAGTATAGCTTTAAACACCTGGTGGCCGTGAAGGACTGTGTGAAGTACTACTGGTTCAGCCTTGCTCTGCTTGCTCAGCAGCAGAGGGAGCAGGCAGGGCTGTGAGCCTGCTGTGAGCCTGTCATCAGGCCCTGCTCTGGTTTTACTCTTTGTGACTGTCAACACAAGCTCTTGCCTTTGTGGTGCTGCAGACCATCCTGGACTGGAGTGCCTGGGAAGGGATGAGGCAGAGAAGACAGTGTGAGATGAAGTACAAGGGGTTTGTCTGTAAGGCTGAACTCCTTGCATCCTGAGGGTGGGACACAGCCATGCTGTGCTGTCTCTATTGTACAGTCAGAGGCAGGGAAATGTTCAGATCAGTGTGCTGGCTCCACCATGCTCTGCAGTTTCAAGACCTCACTCACCTGATCTGGTGTCTCCTCCTCCAGCCTTTTCCCCTTAATCTCTCCTTTCAGAGTGTGAGTGTTTGTGCTCCTTTAGGAGAAAGCCTGGCTCCCCTCATCTCCTGGGTGATGATGTCCTGTGAGCCCTGTGGTCTCCCCAGCTTTCACTTTCAATCTGTGGATTAAAAGCAGGCCTGAGCAGGTGGCTCAAAGCTTGGTGAGAGCATTTGCACCCACAGGGCCTGCTGCTCTCTCTTGGGGTCTGGAGACTCCCATGGTGGGGCCCCAGGACAGGAAGACAGACATTTCCACACACAGGGGTATGGTGGGAGCATGGCCCTAAACAGGCCAGGAGAACAAGATGCTCACGGAAATGAGGGATGATAGCAAATGAGAAGCTGGCAGGACCTTGTTGGAAATCCCATGGGTACCTTTTTGGAAATCCCATGGGTACCTTCTTGGACCTTTACTGCATACAGTTCTGGTGCCCTAAACATAAAAAGGACATGGAACTGTTGGAGCAAGTCCAGAGGAGGTCCAAGAAGTCGATAAGAGGAGTGGAGCATTTCCCCTACGAAGAAAGGCTGAGAAGGTTGGGGCTGTTCAGCCTGGAGAAGGTTGTGTGGAGACCTCATAGAAACCTTCTAGTATCTGAAGGGGCCTACAGGGAAGCTGGTGAGGGAGTCTTTTGTCAGCAGCTGTAGTGATAGGACAAGGGATACAAACTGAAAGAGGGGAAATTTAGTTTAGAAGAAATACTTTACTATGATGGTGGAAATATACAGTAATAGGTTGCCCAGGGAGGTTCTGGATGCCCCAACCCTGGCAGTGTTCAAGGCCAGGTTGGATAAGGCCTTGAGGAACCTGGTCTAGTGGGGGGTGTCTCTGCCTGTAGCTGGGGGAATTGGGACTAGATGATCTTTAAGGTCCCTTCCAATGCTTAACATTCTATGATTCTATGACCTGAGCTACCCCTGTGCCTCCATTTCACTCCCTGTTAAATATTTGTGGACAAGTGACATTTTTCAGGGCTTCTCACAGATCAAAGCTGGTGGGGTGCCTCAAAAACCATCATGCTTTGCTGCCTACAAAAATGATTTGATTCTGTCTGATAAGTCAAACAAGGGCAGGAGGAGAGTGTGGCCCAGTGCGGGGTGGGTGGGTCCCCTGGTGGCCAGGAGGGTTCCGCTCTTGTTGCTCAACAATGGGGTCAGCACCACTCCTGGCAACCCCTTCGTGTAGAGCCCTGCTCTCCCTGGCTAACTCTGCTCCTGCTGACACTATCCCCTCGGGGATTACCTCGGCTTAAGTTAACTGTAGCAGCTTGGGGAAGGGCAGCACTGTGCCTGAAGCAGGATCTCCTTCTGTTTGTGCCTCCACCTCCCACTTCTGCCCAGCACGATAAGAGCCAGCCTGGTATCATGGACGAGTATGTGCAGGTGACGAACCTTTGGTCAGCTTCAGGGCAAGGGATAATGTTGTGTGGGATGAGCTGAAACACTGTGGAGGGTGATATCCTGGGAATGGAGAGCAGTGTAACTACAGAGAGCAAAGCCATCTGCTGGGAGACAAATATCAGGGGTGTCTGCAACTTGCTTGGTGCCTGCCATCTGTAAAAAATGACCATGAGTATTAAATATGGGACCATATGGAGCAGGTATTCCAGGGTATGTCAGCTGGGGTCTGTACTGGACAGCTAAGGTCATACCAGTGCTGTAATGATCTCTCTGACTGAGCAACCTGGTCTAGTGCAAAGTGTCCCTGCCCATAAGCAGGGGGTTGAAACAGGATGATCATTAAGGTCTCTTCAACTCCCCAAATTCTATGATTCTGTGATTCTATGGTGTCCCAATGGGTTTGACATCATCTCTTGAAGGGTTTACAAGTGTAGCTTATATAAGTGGAATGTATGGATGCAGTATAGCTTTAAACACCTGGTGGCTGTGAAGGACTGTGTGAAGTACTACTGGTTCAGCCTTGCTCTGCTGGGTCTTGCTTCCTAAAGGGCACGGGAGATATCTTGGTGCAATGTTCATTTGGTCTGATTGAGGAGCGAGCTGTTCTTGTCCTCTGTTGTGCTCTCTGCTCATGCTCCTCTAGGCCTCTGGGGGAAAAAAGTTCCACCAGCAGGGCTGCAGCAACTGGAGTGGCAATGTTCCACCTGCTGATTAGCCCAATTAAGAGATAAATGAGCTCCTAGGTGCAGAGGAGCATGTACACTGTCAAACTGAGTCAGAGAAGTTATTCCTTGAAGAATGCCCTGGAGTTCCTGGGTTGTCATCCTTCCTGGGGCTGCTCTAGCAGAGTCCAGGGGTGTTGTTCCTCCTGTTCTTCAGTACCATGGGTATCAACACCAGCACACTTAGTGGGCATTGACTGTGCCAAAACATTCCTCTCCAAACTGAGACCTTTATTACTACTGCTGAAAGCACACCTGCCTTATGGAAGAAAATGGGTTTGGTTTAGCAGGTGACTGCTTAATCTGCAGGGGGAAAACGTGGTAAAATCATCGTAAGGCCAATGCTGAGTGAAGTTTCAACCTGTGAGGAAATCAAGGTAAACATCAGGAGGCACTGTGGAGCTAAGCACAAACAGCTAATGCTCTTCTAACAAACCTTATAGGAACACTCTAAGAGATAGCACCTGTAATAAACAAATTAACTCATGACTGTGATGGGGCAATGCTGGCACATGGACAAACAGCTTTGAGATTTTGGCTGAAAATTAGAGGAAAGTGTCTAATCTCCAGAGCAGCTAGTTCTGGTAAGAGGGTCCAACAGGAGGAGTTGGGCAAAAAGCATCTACCCCTAAAATGGAGACTGGCCTGGTCACCAAAGGGTCGATGTGATGTGCCTGCCTATGTCAGGAGGGATGTATTTAGTGACCCCAGAGATCCCCATCAGCCCTGAGGGTAAGTGAAACCGAGCAAGTACGAGCAGGTACCAGTTGGGCAACCAGCAGATATTCGCAATTCAGCCCTTGTCTGACTCACGTGGTTTGCACTTGCTCAAGATCACCACATCTGGATGCAGGGAGAGGGGCATTCCAGCTCACCTGGGGGTAGGTACCTCAACGTGGGTGTGTATGTTGGAGCCCATCACTCCATGTCCCTGTGCAGACACTGCAGGGAAAGTGCCAGTATCTAGTGTGACTCATAGGCCTGGCCTCAGATGCTTATTTTAGGTGGGGAAGAACTGCCCGTTGGAGCTGCCTGTTTTTCTCTGCTGATTGTAAAGTGGAAGGTGTCAGGTGCAGGCTCACACACTTTGGGTTTGCGTGCTGTCAGAACAGAGGTGCTCTGACTTACATGACCTATGGAAAGGTCTTGGGTTTGTTATTGCTACTCTCCTTGAACACGTCTATCACTTCAATGTCTAAAAATACCTAGAGGAACCCTAAAATTAAACAGTTCTCACATTTTCAGTAGCCAACAGAGGAACCCTTCTGAACACTTTTAAGGGAGAAATTAATGTCTCAGTGCCATCTTGTGGAATGACTTGAACAAAAGGATGAGCAGTGGCAAGAGACATATCTAGTGATTCATGATGCCATCCTAGAAGCATGCTGAAATTTTAGGGAATTCAGTGATAATGTTGGGAATGATGCTGCAAATATTATCACCAAACCAAAGATTTTTATTGCGAACTAAGATTGCCTTTTTCCCTGAGAAGACTGCAAGTCCATGGGAACCTGGTGTTCCCAGGAAATACCTGTCCATTTTTCAGCCCAAATCAGAATATGGAGATGCCTGTAGTTAAAGCCTGAATGCAGGAGACAAAGCCTATCAGCGACACAGTAGATTCCTAGTCCACAGGGAAAGAATCCATTTGGAAGGCTCCCTGAGATCTAGGAGTGAAAAACAAAGTTGTAGGTCCAGTTGTGGGTGATACTGACCCACTCGCACCTTGTCCATCTGAGAAAGGCTGTGAGATCTCCAATACATGCAGATCTCAGGTGACATGTAAAGTAAGCTGGAAACCACCATGTGCAAAACAAACTTCACTCTTGTCACTACCCCAATCTGGTGCTCTAGGGCCCACGTTTGTGCTCCACCAATAAACAGTTGCATGAAGTGACCTAGAAAGATTTACCTGGTGCTTGTTCTGTGCCACAGCATAGCTCACAGACTCTTAGGAGAAAACCTTCCCACCTAGAAATATGCAGTAGGAACACCCTTGCAAGCAACATGATCACCATCTGTCATAATTAGATTATCCTTAGTGTCAGAGACAGACTAGTAATTTACTGCATATTTATCCAGACATTCACTGGGGTCAATAGCTAATCTGCTCCTGGAGGAGGGATTACCCCATTGCATAAAACTCTCCCTGCCAGAAGATAGACAATCATCTATGGAGCAGAGGAGAATCAGCTTCACACGTTCTTCCATACAGCTGCTGAGGGTCCTGTGGGTGAAAGAAAGCTCATGAACTTTTGCCCATGCAGTAGAGCAGAGGGAAACAACACCATGGGCAGCATGAGCAGAGCACCATGTCCCCATTGGGGCAGCTGCTCGTAACCTCTGCAGAGCTGTCCTCTGCAGAGCCACGCTGAGAAGCTGCAGCAGGCTGAGAGGAAGGCAAAGAAAACCAGCAAAGAACCAGAAAAGACTCACATGGAAAGGTCTTGAGTGTTCAGTGGATGTAAGTTTTTCCATGATTAAGCAAAGGTATTAAAACGTTTTCACCGTGGAGAGGTAAGAGCACCTGGTGAGGAGGGAGATGAGCAGAGGGAATCAGTAGATGGAGGAGGAATCAGGACAGCAATGATTCTGCTCTGACAGCTAGATGAGATTGAAGGTCTTTGGAGGCCATTTCTGAGCTGGGTTTCTCCTTGCCCCACATGAGAGGACAGACAAGGTGGCTGGTGGCATGGCTCTCCACTAGTGTGATGGCAGCTGCAGACACAGGTGGATTCAACAAGAGCAAATATTCAGCCTGAAGCAACGCACTGTGCTCTTCCCAGCTGAGGACAGCAGTGCACACTGGCTCCAGGCAGAGCACCCTCGCTGCAGAATGGGCATCCAAATAGTCCTGCACAGGCAAATGGTCCTAATCCCATCTGTTTAAAAAAAATGACACCAAACCACCAGTGAGTGGGTTACAATGCAGAGCAGAGCCAAAAATCCTATTCAGTTCCAGCGGAAAAGTTTACTGAGAAAGGCAGCCTTAAGAGCACAACAAAGCTACTTACAGCTCCGCTGTTCTGAGGATAGGCTGCTCCTGGGCAGACACACAGGGTCTGTAATGCTCCAGTAATAGAAATATTGCATTTGTATGATATAGCTTTTAAAGGATGGCATGTGTGTTTGTGTGGGGGCAGACTTTGAAGCTGGCTGCTGCTTTATTGGCTTGTTCATCTTTAACCAAATGAATGAAGGTGTCTGGGGCCGAAGAGAGGGTGCCAAGTTTCAAAGGGTAACTTGGCTCAGTGCAATGAAGTGTGTTTTCACAATAGCAGCACCGTGTCTACATTCCGAGGTCAGAGAGGACAATGTCTGAGAAGATCAAGAAGGCGCTCACAATTCAAAGCAGCACCGTGAGGGAGCTGCTGGCAGAAACACTGGGAACGTTCATCCTCATGGTAAGGAGGAGATGGGTCGAGACATGCCTCTGTGTGTGTGTGTGTGTGTGCAACCATTTAAAACAGCAATTTGTAGGGTCAGTGGTTTCCTACCACATCCTTGGGGTTGCTCGGTGGCTGGTTGTTATTGCTCACCCCTCTGCTGCGGTGGGGTGGCAGTTTCCCATCAGGAAGACTGTCTGCCAAAAACCTTCTGGAGCTAAAAAGTAATGCAGGGAGTGGGAGGTGGGTGCTGGGAGACAGTGAAGCAGGTGGGATAGAATGATAATATCACAGAACCATTTAGGTTGGGAAAGACCTTTGAGAGTTCAACCCAGCACTGCCAATCCCACCACCAAACCATGTCCCTAAGCTCCACATCTACATGTCTTTTAAATATCTCCAGGGTATTATATATATTATAATATCCATATATAATACTGATATAATATATATTTAATATCTATACCTCCACCCATTCCCTGGCCAGCCTGTTACAATGTTTAGCAACCCAGCTGGTGAAGAAATTTTTCCTAATATCCAATCTAAATCTCCCCTGGTACAATTTGAGGCTGTTTCCTCTTCTGTCACTTATTATCTGGGAGAAAGAGACTGACTCCCACCTGGCTACACCACCCTTTCAGGTAGTTGTAAAGAGTAATAAGGTCATCCTGGAGCCTCCTTTTCTCCCAGCTGAACACCCCCACCTCCCTCAGCCATCCCTCATCAGACTTATGCTCCAGACTCTTCCTCAGCTCCACTGCCCTTCTCTGGACATGTCATTGTTTCAGTTCTCTTCTAGGAGAAAACTGAGGAAGAGTTTGGGAATGAAATCAAAGAGCAGTGTCTAGTCAGACAGAGTAACACAACACTCATGCCAAACACCCTGAAAGATCCCATACAGTGAATTGAGGCTTTTCTTCCTGCCATGACAGAGGCAATGGTGTGGTTGGTGGGTCCTGAACAGGTCTGGGGGGCAGACTCCCCTGTCATAGACAGCTGCTGTGAAATGAAAACAGCATTCATCCATCTTCCTCTCTCAGAGTTGCCAGGGTAATGAACCTTCTGGAGAAATTCTCCTGAGCCACAGCCCACCATTAGGAAATGTAATTACTGGGTGTGAAGCATGCCAGGATTTCACTTTTGGTTTTCTTGCTGCCAATTGAATAGTGCTTATGCAAATCAATACATAAACTGCCCCCTTGCCTGAGGGATCTGTTTCACAAAGAAAAAGCTAAGTGGGCTTGAGCTCCTGGGCTGCTTCCAAATGTTTGGGGAGAGAGCAAAGAAGGCTTTACAGTCAGAACTGATCTCTGGTGGGGGTGAAGTACCCAGAGGGATCAGAGACTGTGAGTTTTGGACCAACACAGTATAATGAGATCCTCCCTCTGAAAAAGTCCAGTGTCTGTGCCAACTTACTACACCTGGACTTAGCCTGGCCTGAGATGCTTTGGACTGGACAGAGGCTGGCATGCAAAGGCTGAGCATAATCCCAACAACTTGCACTTGGAGATTTGCAAAGGAGGAAGATAAGATTTGTGTAAGCATAGGGACCTTTCGACAGAGTTGACTGTACAAATGAAGGTGCTCATTTTCAGGGACAACAACTGCCCGTGCGGAGGGTGGTTGCTTTTTATCATGTCATATTGCACATTCACCTCCTTGAAGTTCACTCCTAGGCAGTTTTGTACCCATAGTAAGTCAGAGTACAGGCATCTGTGAAGCCCCAGAAACAGCTTAGCAAACCATTTTCCAAAAGCAAATTGCTTGCCATTCCCTTCATTATTGGGTGATTGAAGTTCCCAGGTGACAAAGAACAATTCAGGGTCGTCCTGCCATGGCTGTCTCTGGGAAGCAGCATGAGGTAGAGACTTTTCTCTGTACTCTGACAGTCCAAGGCAGATTTTGTGGCCTGCAGCTCACATTGGCTCTTCTCTCACTGATGCATGTGAGGGAACAGAATAAAAGAAGGGCCGTGCATGTGGACTCCCACCAAGGGCTGATGACAAGCACCATCCAGCATCCAGCTCTTCAGCAGCACCTTGGCCCTGTGCTGGATGCATCTCCAGGATGTTCTGTGGCCTGTCTTATGTTTTTTTCAGGATAGTGCTGTTCATGCACAGTTATATCTCTTGCCTTGTTCCCTTCTCTCTGCACCTGTGTGCTCTGCTGCAAAACCTGTGCCTTATGCATTTGCCTTCCTTGGATCTGGCTTTGGAAAATTCAGAGATGAATATGCAGACACTTTGCAGATGCTGGGGGACATCATAAACTGCTTTTGGGGGCTTTTGCTAAGGCAATCTGAGAAGAGCTTACATTGTGCAGGCTGCAGCTCTGTGCAGAGCACAGAGCGTGGTCTGTGTATATGAGAGAGATAAAACAGCATCCCTGTGGAACAGGGGATTTGAGTGATGTGTGAAAGCATCGAGGGGAAGCAGACGCATGAGATAAAATTTGGATCCAGACAGAGTAGCCAGAAAAGATCACAGTTAAAACAGTACAGGCCAGAGCAGAGGTTTAGATGCTGGAGAACATATTGACTTTCTTGTTTTTGAAAGACATGTCATCCTGCTTAAACATCAGTACAGTCCTCGGAACAGGATATACCTTCCAAATCCTAAGTCGTTTGCTAGGCCGAAACCTCACAAGAAGCTTCGTCCTTCTCCAGATTTCAGTGTAAGACCGTTCAAAGAACTGATTTTTCCAGCCTCTTGCCATATTAAAAAAGTGACATAGAACTCATTTTCAGGACCGACCAATTTCTTGAATATCTCTTTTCCTGCTGGAGAGTGTATACTTTTAATTTTTTCACTGTTTCTCCTTTAGTCATTTAAAAAATATTGAAACTTTGTCTGTTTTCAAACTGAAAGTCTTATGTGTTGAATGGAAAAGTCAAACAAGAATTTCCTTTCTTGTCTTTTGCTGGAATGTTACCAAAATTAGAGTCGAGTTTGGCAAATAGCTGTATGTTGCCCAAACTACATTTTTAGTCAATAAATTGCGCACCAGGAAAAGAAAGACCATAGGAATCTGCTCACCCTCCTTCCATCCATCTTGGACGTTGCCTCTGAGTGGTCCATGGTGATGCTCCCCTGCCTCATGTCCCTGGTTTCAGACCCAGACATCTCTGCTGTGGCTGTGTGAACGATCCTCATTGAGCCCCAGCTCTTGGTGTGGGTGTCTGGGGTTTGTCTCTCCACACTCAATCATAATGAGAGTGCCTGGTTTGGTCTGATGGGCACCAATGTGAAATATCCCAGGCATCACTTTAATTTTTGCAGGGGAGGCTTGTTCTTTGTCTTCTGACCATAGGCACCTTAGAGACTTCCTGTCTTTGGGAGTTTATTAGTATTGCAGAAAATGTAGCAAAGAAGCTCAGTCTACCACAGCAACAACCATACTTTTAACACTCCTTTCTCTCTTTCTTTTTACACAGGTTTTTGGCTTGTCCTCTGTGGCACAAGTGGTATTAGGAAAAGGAAACACTGGTCAGTATCTGAGCATCAATATGGCATTTGGCATTGGTGTTACTCTGGGAATCCATGCATCTGGAGGAGTATCTGGTGAGCAGGACACTTGAGCATGGGACATATCCATGTCCCCTAAAGGCCACATGCATTGGGAACAGCACCAGTGGGCTGTGGAGGGGCTGATGACAGCATGGCAAGGTGGAGCAGTGCCCTCACCCCAAAAAGGGCAGTCCTAGGGTACCCAAGCAAGAAGAGTAGAGCAGGTCTGGTTGGTGACCATGACCACGGCCAGCTTTGTGACCTGGAGAACACAGCCAAATCTGGGAGGAGGGGCAGGTCAGAGGTCAAGCCAAGGCATTGCGGTGGCGTGGCATTGTCGGGGGGGGACAAGGCAGGCACAGCACATCTACAGCACGCTGTCCCCAAACTTGTGCTCTGAGCTGTGATGGGGCAAGTGGGACAGGGAGGGAGGCAGCGGTTCTCCTTCCCCTCCTGCTGCAGAGCCAGGTTTCAGCACTTCTCCCGTTAGGCAGTTGGGATATGCTATCATGGCCTAAGGAGACAGGGAGGTCCCAAAACATGCTGCTGATACGACCCACGGGGAAGTAAATAATTCATTGCAAAGGAGAGCTTACTGGAATGGTAACAACAAGGAATGGTATGCAAATTTTCTCCTTACCATCCACATCCACGCGCACATAACCCGCACGAGGTGGTGGTTCAGGGCCATGGGGTGCCATCCCTCACATGGCAGAGCATTACCTTTGCCTTGTGCTATTTCTGCATTCACTTGCACCAAGAGATGAGATTAATGGCTCTAATGGGCAAAAAATTAAAGCACCTCTTTGTTCTTGAACTGTTGGAGCAGAGAGAGAGGTCCAAGCTTGGGGCTGGCTTGGAAAAATTTTCCATGCGAGCAGTCAGTGCTTGGTTTCCTTGACTTTTGGAGTTGGTGGAAAAATCCTGGGAAAAGTGGGCTGAGGAAAGTAGGTCCTGGCAGTCCCAAGTGACTTGAGAAGGAGCTGCTCTGCTGAGGGCAGAGGGAAGGGATCTCAGCTCAGCCAGTAACAGTCTGGTTATGGAGCGAACTTCAGGGCTTCCTGTCATAGTAATTTGGCTTCAGTGTGTCACAAGATGCTCTGAAATGGCTGGTCATACCCACAAAGGAGCAGAGGATCAAAGAAATAGGGATCTACTCCCATTCCATTTGTGATTATTGGACTGTAGCAAGGCGATACATGCACATTTACTTCTCTCTGTCCTACACTTTGACGAGACAATGGGTGTCTGCATCTTACCCCTTCTAGAGTCTGGAGCAGGAGATGGCCATGAAGGCTGGAACATTTATTGACCCCTAAAGTTTATACCTACTGGGTAGGAAAAACAAATATTTCCTTTAGAAATATGGGGACATGGGGCCTGGAGAACACACCAAGGGCACCAAACCTGGATTCATGTAGTCCTTCTCCAAAAGTACCATTGTGATACCAAGCTCCTCCACAGAAAATGTCCCATCAAAACAGGGAAAAATGGTCTTGCACTGTATGAAAGCCACATACTAAAAGATATCAGGAAATGCAGTCCAAGATTACAAACTGCAAGGGAAGGACAGGGTCTGCTTCAAAATAGTGGGAGCAACCACGGTCTGGGCATGGTTGAACATCCTGGCAACCCCTTCTCAATGCAGTGATGTCCAAGAGCTCACCCGAGTCCCTGCTGACAGCCCTGTGTAGGATTTGCTATGCAGCCACAAAGCTATGGGTCATCAGTGGCTGATTCTGCAGCTTCCCTTCATGCCTTGACTGCCAGGTACGCTAAGGGCCCACAGCTCCCATCAGCTGGGGTACTCAGCTTCGCCTGGATGAGGCCCTTCTTGTCTATTTGATGTTTCCAGAAGGCCCTGTGATTGTTTGGGCTAAGATTTGCCTCATCTACCTGTAGCTGTTTAAAAAGTGGCTAAGTCTGGGCTCTATTTAAGCTCAATAAAGAGCAGCCCACTGAGAAACTCACAGAGAAACTCATGCCATGCCGAGAAAGGTATCTCTGACTGGCAAGATGATCCTCTCTCTGGAGGCAGCCTGTGGTCTACAGAAGTTTTAGAAGACTAAAGCTAGTAGCTCTTTGACCTGTATGATTCAGCTGAGCAGGGAGAATGGCTCAGTTTTGTGTCTGTGCAGGAGTAAGACCCTGCTCTGAGAGAGTCTTGGTGTTCTGGAACAAGGTCTGGGTAACCACTGTGTAACATGGGGAATAGAACCATGGAAGGGTTTAGGTTGGAAGAGGCCTTTAAAGGTCGTGTTGTCCAACCGCCCAGCAGTGAACAGGGACATCTTCAACCAGAGCAGATTGCTCCGAGCCCTATCCAACCTGGCCTTGAATGTTCCCAGGAATGGGGCATGTGCCCAGTCACATGCTCTAAATCAGCTACATCAGGGCTGAGGCCACTTTCTTTTTCTGTGATTTTGCAGGAGGTCATCTGAATGCTGCCATCACCATTATGGAGTACCTTTTAGGAAACCTCAACTGGAAAAAGCTCATAGCTTATATGACCGGCCAGTTCCTGGGCTCCTTTATGGCAGCAGCCACCGTCTTTGGCCTCTACTATGGTACTGTTGTGTCTTTTATCACAGAGGTTGCTGTAGGCATCACTTCATTCAACTCACATTATCAAAAATATGTCCTTTTGGAGTCCACAGCATAATTTCTGAGGAGGGCAAGGCCTGTGAGACATACTTCATAGCTCATGGTCAGAGCAGGTCCCAGATACCTCTGGGAAGGATATGCAGTTCCTGGATGACATAGCTCCTTTTGCTCAGGGCATTCCCACTTTCAAAACCCGTCCTCAACTGAAGTGTAGCAGCTGCATTTTGTCAGCATTTTGTTTCCAGGTCTGCAGGGGCTTGAGTTACATGAACTACTGTGTATCGGATACAGCTGGAGCTCTGGGGGACTCTGCTGGTCTGTGAAAAACAGGATCACAGACACTGGGGGTTTTGAATTGTAAGCAGACGACCTGCCAGCTGTTGTTTCCAGCATGTCTCAGTCTCAGGGTTGGAGGCCTCCAGCGCATGCAGGCTGCTGGAGCAGGAATAGGGGGCATAAGGAAGAAATTGCAGACCAAAGTCTGTGGGCAACAGGTATCGGTGAGATCACACCCTGCGAGGAGTGTGTCACCTCCGTCATATCTTCCATTGCCTCTCTTCTCCTTGGTGTCTGTGCTGGCTGCAACGGGTGGACATGTGTATGTGACTTGTGGGATGAACTCCGTGCTAAGTTCCATAACTCCCACTTCTCCTAGATGCTCTGTACGACTACACCAAAGGGAACTTCACAGTGACAGGACCGACTGCCACTGCGCCGATCTTCGCCACTTACCCCGCTCCCAATGTATCCTTGCTGGGGGCCTTCTTTACAGAGGTCAGTAGGAATGGCTGTGGTGTGCCAGGAGAAGGTGGGAGGTAACAGGTCTGCTACAGGGTACCCTCAGGGTAATGCCTGCAGGATTCTCTGCAGCTTGGTCCAAGTGCCCTTCAGTCTTGTTAGCTGTTTGCTATGGCTCTGCTTCTGTTAGACAAAATGTACTTAAAATAACCCATTTCCCTGACTTAAGAGGTGGAGGGGGAGAATTTGTTGCTGAGAAGTTTGTGTCAGTCTTAGAGCACTTTTGGCAGAGGTGAACACATTTTTTGTTGAGAAATGAGTCTAGAATTTTCTTTGGTCCACCTGTGAGGCAAGAATAACATTTGGGTCCTCCCTGCCTTGATCAGACCGTGAATCTTACCTCCTCTTTGATTCTGGGAAGCCTCTTCCCCTCTGCTGAGCAGAATCCTTCCACCTTTTCCATTCTGTCCTGTGACCTGTTCTCCCTCTTCTGCTCCTGCAGTTCACAGCGACAGTTATGCTGGTCCTGGGTGTTCAGGTCATTCACGATGAGAAAAACAATGCAGCCCTGAAAGGCACTCAGCCCCTGATCACTGGTATCCTGGTCCTGGGCATCGGCCTGGGAATGGGGATGAACACAGGCTATGCCATAAACCCTTCCCGGGACCTGCCCCCCAGGGTCTTCACAGCAATTGCTGGCTGGGGAACAGAAGTCTTCACGTGAGTAACCTGTTCTGCTTTTACACTGCCCAGCTTGCAAGGAGAGGAGATAAGCCCACAACAAAACAGTCCCGAGGCCTTTTTCTTAGGGCCAAGTGATGGTGTCACTGCAGAGTGTGTTCTCCATTCTCAGAGAGCAAGGGTTGTGCCTAGAGGAGCCCTGGGCACTCTACTCTGTAACCAAATTTGGGGTACACTAATTCTCCTGCACGGGATTCACCTTGACACTCTGATACCTCAGTTTGGGCACCAAACTGGTGACCTGTTCACTGGAGATCTAGCTGGTTATTGCAGTGACCAGAGAGCCAGAATGCATTCAGCTCACCTGAAAGCACGTACTTACAGCTGGATTGCTGAATAGCTCTCCTACATTTAGATGTCTGAATCTGGAGATGAAATCCTACCTTCCTCTATCTAGAAAGATGGTGCCATGCTATGGCTTTTCCTATGGTTTGGTCATTACTGCAGTCTCCTGTCCCAGATGCCCATTTTCCTTCAATTCCCTGAAAATGTATTTGAGAGGTTGGTAGAGGAGGTGCAGGTGTTATTGGAAAAGGGGAGGGAAAATGTTGGTGCCTGTGTCTGACAGTCATACTCATCAAGATCACGTAGACTATTTCTTTTGGATAACAAGAAACCTGCAGACAGTGTGGAGCCACGTTTTCATGCTGATGGGTAAAATGACCTTCCCTCCAGCAATCAGGTGGTGGAGAGTGAATTTGTCTAAGCCAGTTGTAGAGCCCAGTACATAAAGTGGGACAGGCACCTCTGCTCACACAGCTCACCCCTGCCCCAGCAGACTCAGCTCACTCCTGCTGCACAATGACGTAGCAGGGTAAGATGTTCTAGCCTGGCTCACCAGCTGCCTTTTCTGTGTTCCTTTTTAGGGCTGGACGTAACTGGTGGTGGGTACCAGTCACAGCTCCAGTTCTGGGAAGTCTTGCTGGTGTTTTAATGTACAAACTCTTCATTGACTTTCACAACCAAGCTGATGAGGATATTGAAAATAAGAAAGAACAGAGAGGTGTGGAGACTTCCAGGCTGTGACAACCACGTGCTTCGATAACACACAGGAGGAGCCCACCATTTGTCCAACATGCAGATGAGGGACTAGTCTTCAGTAAACCCACTCTGCTTAACCAGACAAACTTGGTCTCTGAGATATTGGGCAGACCTGGGTAGGGTTAGACCTGACTGACCTGAAGAAATTATTCAATCTCCCTGTTTAAAAATCTACCAAAAAAACCCAAACCCAAATGCAATCATCACATTCTGAAGAAAAGCAAAGTAGATCCGCAAGACTCCAGATACCTGTATATTCATATAGATCAAAATACGGGAGTCAACAATGGCAGAAAAAATGTGATTAAGTTTATTAACATAGAACTTTGGTCTGGAATATTCTTTGGTAAGAGGTAGATACCACCCCACCAAAGGATAGTTTGGCAGAGCACAGACAAGAGAAGAGCAAGGACAGTCTAAAATAGAAACACGAACTTCTTTTTTTTTCCCATACTTGGTTTTTTGGTGTTTTTTTTTTGTTTGTTTGTTTTTTTGTTTGCTTGTTTGTTTTGTTTTGTTTTGGTTTTTTTGTTTTTTTTTTTTTGATCTGAACATTCAGGAAGCATCAAAAAATTAGTAAACTAAACTACAGGGTCTCCTGAATCCTGCCACAGCTCTGCTGGAACACGCTGGCATCACAGAACCAGTGTGTTACTGACAGGCTAGACTTGAACTATCACCAACTTCCACCATATGAAAGAATTCAGATAACTTCTGTGGCAGCATCACCAAAAACTCAAACACACCTCCCCAACACATTCTTTTTCCACTCTGAATGCATGAGAAATATGAGAAGAGGTTGCCCTGCTGTTGCAGGAATTCTGCCACCTCCATCTGAATGAGGAAGTGGGCCTGCAACAACCTTACACATTTGAGATATCATTGGATTAAAAGTAAAACACCACCAGAAGCTCTTTGTTCCTGCGGGGTGGTGACAACAGTCTTAACTTTTCTAGAAAGTGCTTAAGCACATATGGTATGTATGTCAAGTACACAACTGCAGTCCCAGGGCTGGGTGCCATGAATAAACAACACAGAAATCTCCAAGAGTAGGATGTGACAGAACATCACTACTCCACAGAATTTCAAAAAATTACATTACTGGCTTTAATGATTATTCCCATCACCCTACTAGAAGGATAGCTAATGGATAACCAACCCAGTGGCATGGGGTGGGTTTGGGTGGTAGGTGCTTCCTCATTAGAGCTGACTTTATATTAATAGAGCCGCTACAGCAGATCTTCACCTGTCTCAAGACACACATCAGCTTGAAAGGATGCATCAGAGAACTTTTTTGTCATTTGGGGGTGGCAGAGGGTGGCTGGCAGGCAATGCAGCAACTGCATTTGAGAGTGGGCCCTAGGCAGCGCTGGAAGCCAGCAAAATGTGCTTGAGCTGGGGCAGAGACTTTGTACAGTGACCACGGGACAGAAGTAGAACACCTGTCACACAGCTCAGTCTTTTGGTCTATGGGAACCAAACTGCAACCCATCACTTCCCAGAGAGAGATTCCCCACTGCATTAAAAAACCTCAAACCATCCAGCCTGTGCCTTGCTCTTGCCATACATCCTTGTGCACATGCTCCCCAAAGCATCTTCAAATACCGAATCACTCTGGACAAAAATATTTAAGTATTTATTAAAATACTATTAAGCACTTACAGGGTGGCTTCATTTTTCTGAAAGCCATACAAATACTTATGAAAGCCTCACAACATCCCTGTGAGGTAGGTTTGTCTTGTGTAATTATGTGATGGTTTCATAAATTAAACATGATGCTGTTTAAATGCTTATTTGAAGACAGTGACTTTGATTTCCCTGTTTAGGCACAAAATGTGTTGGGTGCTACCATGCATTTCCAGCACATCTAGGAAGACGGAATAGCATAGAAAAGTAGTGGAAACATCAGGTGTAACTGAAAACCAGCAGTGAATGGATTAAAGTGCAGTTCTAACCTGAAAACTTACAGTATAGAAAACAGCATCAGGGGCTTCTAAGGCTGTAGGATCTCTTACCAGTGGCTCCTGGTAAGATCCTGCCCAACTGAAAAGGCAAAGGCTGTTTCAATGGTCAGCTTTGCAAATCAATGTGTGACAAACCATGGGTTCTCCTTGCTGATGGGACTCAACACCATTAACTCACCTTTGCTCAGGGGTTCCCACAACAGGGAGGCAATGAGGGATCTTGTAGCTTCTGGCTGCCTTCAGGCTTATTTGGAATCATGCATCCAGTTGGTGGTCGGTCACTAGTGGTGTCCCCCAGGTATCAGTGTTGGGCCCAGTTCTGTTTAATATCCTTACTGATGATCTGGATGAGGGAATTGAGTGTATTATTAGCAAATTTGCAGATGACACCAAGATGGGGGGGTGTGTCGATCAGCTGGAAGGCAGGAGGGCTCTTCAGAGGGACCTCGACAAGCTGGAGAGATGGTCTGATTCCAACAGGATGAGGTTCAACAAGGCCAAGTGCCGGGTCCTGCACTTTGGCCACAACAACCCCCTGCAGCGCTACAGGCTGGGGACAGAGTTGCTGGGGAAAGGGCAGAGAGGGACCTGGGAGTTTGGATTGACAGGAAGCTGAATGTCAGCCATAGTGTGCCCAGGTGGCCAAGAAGGCCAATGGCATCCTGGCCTGGATCAGGAACAGTGTGGCCAGCAGGACCAGGGAAGTGATTCTTGCCCTGTACTCAGCACTGGTGAGGCCACCCCTGGAGTGCTGTGTCCAGTTCTGGGCCCCTCAGGGCAGGAAGGACATGAAGGTGCTGGAGCAGGTCCAGGGAAGAGCAACAAGGCTGGTGAAGGGACCGGAGCACAGGTCCTATGAGGAGAGGCTGAGGGAGCTGGAGTTGTTCAGCCTGGAGAAGAGGAGGCTCAGGGGAGACCTCATCACTCTCCACAACTCCCTGAAAGAAGGTTGTAGCCAGGTGGGGGTTGGTCTCTTCTGTCAGGCAGCTCTCAGTAAGACAAGAGGGCATGGTCTTAAGCTGTGCCAGGGGAGGTTTAGGTTAGATATTAGGAAGAAATTTTTTATAGAGAGAGTAATCGTCCCTGGGAATGGGCTGCCCAGGGAAGTGGTGGATTCTCCATCCTGGAGGTTTTTAAGATGAGACTGGATGTGACATCAGTCACATGCCATGGTCTGGTGACCACAGCAGTAGTGGATCAAGGGTTGGACTTTGTGAGAAAGGGTTAACACCTTACAGGAAGATTATTGCAAGGAAGGATGGGGGCAGCAGGCCCCCAAAGAGAGTGCTCGACTGCACGTGCCCACTGGAAGGATTGGAGAATGATTGTTGGGGAAATAGCACATGCTCTATGGTTATGTAACCTCTTATGTAACCAAGGAGTATAAAACTGTGTGCTTGACTGTTAATAAATGATTTGTCAGCTTGCACTCAATCTGGTGGGTCCGTGCCTACCTGCCACAAATGGCATCCGAGCAGGGACTTCAAGAGAGATGTTGGGAACCAGAGCATTAGGCTGCTGGGACTTCTACCGGTGGCAGCCCCTGGCTGAACCGAAAGGAAAGGAGGAACTCCTCGAGGACACTGCGTGCGCCAATCACCTCTGAAATTATAGGACTATAGGAAAAAAGAAGAAAATTCAGCATTCGATTCAGAGGTGAGCAGCCAGGGAAGGCAGGATGTAATTCCCGAGAGATGAAACAGAATGCTGAAGCCTCACACTAGTTTTTTAATAAAAAAAAAAAAGACAGAAAAAAGAAACTACGGAAGCTAAATCGCTGGCACTTTTAATATGGATTGCTGTGACTGCACTGGGATTTCCGCTGGCAGGAACCCTTCAAATGACTGCTTGGCAAAAATTGGCAAGAGACTTTACAAGAGAGCAATTTCTGGAGACCTAGAGGCGTTTGGGAACTTAGCCACATGGAGGGAAATAGTGGATACTTTCAAAATGGCACAAAGGAGATTAGCTCCTGCTGCGGCAACAGGTCCCTTTCCCCCTGTTCCTCCTGCTGCCCCTGCTCCCCCTAGGGTTCCCCTAGAGATGAGGTGCAAATGGGGGAGCGCGGGAGGGCCCTTGGGATCAAAGGAGGAGGGAGAAGGAGAAGGAGATGGCGTGCCACTTGACTTTGTTCGTGTTGCACGGCCGTTACGGAGGAGCAGCCGTTACACTCTCGCCGTGAGGCTGCCGAGGAAACACGAGTCTGCCCCTGCTGACATGCCCTAATGTGTCCCTGCCTGAAGAAGCATATGAAGGGTATGATGATCCGGAGGGCAGTGAGTTTATGGAGGACACAGGAAGGGAATCAGTCATGTCCTCTCTTAATGAGGATAGGTGGTTGTACGGGGGTGCCCACAGCCTCTGGTGCTAGAACAGAAGTTCTGAAAGAGCAGCAGCCCCCAGCTGTTCCCACCAACTCTCCCTCTACCCGGGACAGGGACACAGGGCTGAGCCACAGAACCAGCGCTGCAAGATTTGGGAGCCTCTCCCCCCAGTCCTCTTCCTGCTCACAACAGCATTGAGAGGGACATCCGGAGAGAGGAGCCAAGACAACAGCAGCTGCTGCAGCAGCGATATCCCAAGACCCGGAAGAGCACCTAATGGAGCTCAGGGAGCCAACCAGCACCAGGCAAGCAAGAAAACTTCCAAAGCCAAAGGGCTATGGGGCAGTGCAAAGATTTGGTCTAAATCAAACTAGTTGGATCTCCCTTCACAACTGGGAGGGTGAGAAGAAGAGATTTGGGAGATGGAGGGGTAGTAAGGGTCCCAAGTGTGATGCTTCTGATCTCTTCCCCGAGATTCATCTTGCCAGCTAACTCTCCTGCATGTTTGTTCCCTTTCCTATCTTCTTTACACACTTTCCAGGCAGTATCTCTCTCCTTTTCATCATAGCATTTCGCACTCTGAGCTTCCAGTTTTGGGGAAACGTTGCTGTTTCCCCAACCACTCAAGCCCCCATTGCCAGGGCCATGTGTTTTTCTCTTTCTCTCTCCCTGTCTTTTGACAGGTCAATTTCAAGAGCCATGTTACAAAAGCAAAAAAGTGGGAGAGGATATACATGCATATCCATGGGTACTCAATTAAGATGGATCCCCTCTAGGTGTGTCAGGCCTTACATTAAT